AAAAAAAAAAAAAAAAAAAAAAAAAAAAACGGTTTAAACGCTAAAAATTGCATGTAGTGTTTCTTTTTTACATTTGCATCAATGCCACAAAAACCTAACATTTAAGGTAATTTTAAACTTGTGGCGGACAGCCCGCACAAAGCCAAGACCAGCGGGTTGTCGAGCAGCAGGATGTCAGCTGATGCTGATATTTACATACACTTCACTGTCTCTAGGTCCTTACAACAACGTTCACACCCTTTCGCTGCCGCCTTTGGAGTCTTTACAGTAATGCATCAAGTAGTCGCTGAAAACTATTATAGTGATATTAAATCAAATTTACCACGAATTGATATACATACCTGCAATTAGAAGAAGAAAGGGAATCCAAGACTCGTTGATTGATGCGATCGAGGTAAAATTGGGTCACCAGATGCCCACCAGATGACCTATTTTTCCATTTCCTGATTGAGGCATTGTGGGAAAGTTGTCAAGAAAGAAACAACATGGACGACGACAACAAAAGTGAATTCCTACGGATAGTTATGAAGTGAACTTGTATTTGACTTTTAATTGCACCTCTGTTGCGAGTACCGAAAGGTAAAGTGCATATTTATATTTTAATGTGTTATATATATATATATATATATATATACACGCTTAAATGTAGTAGAACTCCCTGCAGCAGTTACAGCAGGTGCCCGTGGGCGCCCAGTTTGAATGTCAGTTGCACTGCCACTTACATCTACATGTATCTTATGATATGCTATCACTAAAAGAACTAGCATTTGTGAAAGTAGCATATGCCTAATTGATGTACATCTTTACAGTCTTTGATATATGCTGCTTTTTACACATCTAGCTAACCAGCAGTGAGTATAATCTAAGGCACACTTGCAAAATAAATAAATGAATAAAATAAATAAAAAATAAAAATTTATAAATAAAATAAATAAATAAATCAGCACTTTATTTAATTGGGCTAATATAGCTGCAGGAAGAACTCAGTGGTTTGTATTTTGCTAGCACTCTTTTTGTCATACCTTATTTTACATTTCCAGAAAATGGAGAGAAAGCCTGACACAGGGTCTTCTTTCCAGTCCAGTTACTCTATGGCCCCAGGCCTGCAGAGGGAACCCACAGACACTTATCTGAACCCTGTCCCCACACCCAACATCAGGGAGACTAGCTTTGTCTCCAGCTTTGGGAACATGCCTGATCAGACCTCCCTGGACCAGGGGACACCACCTGATACCTCGTCAAATCAAAATGGTGTGGCTACAACTGGTTTGGCTAAGCCTCCCATGCCAGCAGCTGGCCGGGGAAATGCCTTGATGTCTAGACTGTACAACACCCCTGCTAGCTCTAAGGTTGTACAGATATATAAGAACATCAGTAATAAAGGAATTGCAGTGCCTAATGGAGATAGCTCACAGGTAAGGTTTCTATTTTGGGGACAACACATCATGTCTTGGACAAGAGGATTTGCATAAGGTTCCATGCAAATGATAAACAATTTTCTCATTGACTTGGTAATTTAGAAATACTGTTTCTTGTATATAGAGTACTCTTGTTTTGACAAGTTCATGGTCACTAATTACAACATATCTGCTGATATAAACTTTTTTTAATGTTGATTTGTTTTCAAAACAATTTATTTACTTCAGCCTCTTGTGCCTCACCCTCCGTCCAGCAAAGTCCATGGAGCTGGACCCTTCCGGACAACCTTTTATAAAAAAGACCAAGAACGAAGAAAAATTCAAATGAAAAACAGACAAGAACAGAAATCGAATGATGGAACTCCAAAACTTGATGTTAGCACAATGTAAGTTGTTTTAGATGATATACTATAGTATATAATCATGAAGTTTCAGTTTTCTTTCTCTGGACTAATTGCATTAGGTGAATGTGTTACCTGTACTTAATCTTAACGTATGAAATTTCTAGCCCAACCATTTAATCAGTGATAGTGAATAAGTGGAAATAAGATACTTGTGTCATCTATAAACCTTTTGGTTAATGTTTAAAAATTTTGGATAAACAAAATAAAACAATGGGAAGTTTTAAAAATTCATGCTACAATTGGTACTTAAGTTTTCATTTAGTTAAAAAGGTATCTATTGGTCTAATACAGAAATTATGTTAATACAGAAAATATGTATGGGTAACAAACTTTGGTCTTAACTTTTATCTAAAACAGGTTGCGCAGAAGACCAAGCAAAGAAGTTCTTCCTCCTATTCAAGTTGAGCAACCAGAGGATGCCATGTCTGATGCCACCTCAGAGATCAATCTTGAGGAGGAGGTGAAATCAGGTCAGTCAGCTAAAAATAAAACAGCTGCATGAAATTGGGTCAATTTTCTAGGTCAATGACAAAAACTCGGTCAGTTATCAGTACAAAAGCTCTCACCCAAGGTCAGGTCAAAAGTTTAGAATTGTGATCTCAGTTCAATTATTGAGCTGTAGATTACTAAGGATAATGATTAAACATAAATGTCCTTGTATGTAGACTAATATTCAGGGGAGTGACCTTATACCTGTATATATATTTAACCAATCTCAATACCCAAATAACAAGTTTTGTAATATTTCAGTTGCCTGGGTAGAGTAAGAATAAATTAGAGGACTTAAATGGTCCTAGAGTACTAAGCCATCAGAATAAAATATATCATCAAATAAATGGACCAATTACTAGTACATACTGTATGATATAACTTCTTTAATGTTAAAATGAGGTTTAAAAAATTAAATCAAATTTTTTATCATTAGTCAAAGATGAAAAAGAGACACAAGAAAAGAAAACTGTGACATTCATTAAAGTGGAGGTAGAAGCAGCAGAGCCACATGTCACAGAAGAAAAGCCTGATGTGGAAACTGCCACAGTGGCAACAACTTCTGCAAAATCAAGAAGGACAGCAGATTTGCGGACGCCAGATCTCTCTGAAAAAGGAGCTAGTAAACAGAACCGTGAAATAGTTCTGACGTATCTGAAGAAAAACAAATATGATGATACAGGTTGGTATGGTTTCTGTCTCTCTCCTTCTTTTGGGTTGGATATCTGGTTTAGTCAACATTTTTAATGAAATAAAATCAACTTTATCTTTGCTTTTTAGCTTGAATTCGGCTATCTGTCATAATTTTTTACCCAAAAACATTGTGAAGAGCCTTATAATAAATGTACATATTTTGAGTTGATACATGCATCTGTATCATAGATGTTTCATTTTTTGATCCTCTTACTGTAAAACCAATATATTTGATTTTAAACACAGAAGAAACTTTTTTCACTGTAGAACCAGAAGAAACTAACGTGGAAGAGTGGTTAATGAAGCTACGCAGAGAACTTGGTTGGAAAACTGAGCTTCCACGACATGGTCCTGGCTGCAGGAAGGCTATGGATAAACTGATGGAGAACCCAGATCAGAAGCATGAGGTATGGAAAAAGAATACTAGCTATTGATATTAGATAACAGTTATAAAGAATTTATATAAATTTGAAATTATTAAGTGCCAGTTTATGCAAAAAATATTTAAATTGATTTAAAAATTTTTTTTCACTGCTTAATATCCAAATGCATGAGAAAAGCATTAATGTTATTATACTTTATTCAAATGTTTCAATGTTTATTCTACATTTTTTGTGCACTATGGCTTAGAACTTTTTAAGAAGTCCAATGTTTTTATAGATACAACTTTTAATCTTTCTAGGATTCCCTGTTCCGTAAGGAAGACCCAGGGAGCTTTGTGTACTGCCTGCCTAAGAACAGGAACAAATCTAGAGCCAGATACAACCCTTATCATTTAGATATTGTGTCTGTAAATGCTGCTAGAGCTTCCCCAGTGTTCTGGAGTGTCAGTGCTTCTAGTGTGTCCATGGTAAGTGTAGAATGTTCTGGACTGTCAGTGCTTCTAGTGTGTCCATGGTAAGTGTAGAATGT